GCAGGCGATTTTAACGCTCAAGTTGGAAAACTGAGCGCACCGCAAGCTTACCTAGGCGGTCATTGTGCTCTGCCCTGCCAGCGAACAGATAATGGCGATCGACTTCTTCAGTTCTGCGCAGATCATCATCTGTTCCCAGTCAGCACCAACTTCCGACACAGTTCCCAGCGGACAGCAACGTGGCGCTCAAATTCAACTGGCTCGCTAACTCAGATCGACCACATCGCAGTAAGTTACTGTTGGCGTGGCTCAGTACAAAACTGCAGGTCTTATTGGACCACCTGCGTTGAATCTGATCATGCGTTAGTTTTGATGCAGTTCACTCTCCAACTCGCTGGTCGCAGAAAACTCCATCAAACTCGATTGGCAGATCTTCACTTATCTGACCCAGCCGTTCGTGCCCGNAGTAAGTTACTGTTGGCGTGGCTCAGTACAAAACTGCAGGTCTTATTGGACCACCTGCGTTGAATCTGATCATGCGTTAGTTTTGATGCAGTTCACTCTCCAACTCACTGGTCGCAGAAAATTCCACCAAACTCGATTGGCAGATCATCGCTTATCTGACCCAGCCGTTCGTGCCCCTTTTGAATCAGAACTAGGGTAAGAGCTAAACGCACTGCGGGCTGGTAGTGTGAATGAACAATGGGATCAGATTAGCCGAGCAATGCACTCCGCAGCGAACGTTGCTTGTGGATCTGAGGCAGTAGCCCGCCCGAGGCATTGGATATATATATATATATATAGGATGCACAAAGTGCACTTGACAGATTATCAAGTTTTGTCGCTCCGTTCGGCATGCGCTTTGCACCTTCAAAGTGCAAAGTGATGCTATAAGACTGGGTGTCACCAAGTTCTGTTTTGGAACTAGACGATCAGGAATTAGCTAAATTTGACTGCTTCTCGTACTTGGGTGGCTGCGTGACCAACGCCGGTAGCGCATCGGAGATAAAAGCTCGCATTTCCAAGGCTTGAGCAGCGTACGCAGGGCTAAAACACATTTGGCGACGACATGACATTTCACCGAAGTTTAGCGGTCGCGTATACTGCGCCGCTGTACGATCATTTCTGCTTTACGGTTGTGAGACCTTGAATTTGCGGGTAGAAGACACCCGTCGTTTAACACTGTTCGACAATCGATGCTTACGTAGTCTGGCCCAAGTGGGATGGAGCGAGCGGGTTAGTAACTTAGAAGTAAGTCATCGGGTGTTTGAGAATGCATCGAACAAGAACTCACTATCTCATCGAATCCATCTCAGAACGCTCCGTTGGTTAAGACACGATCGCCTACCGCAGCGCGCCTTGTTTTCAGTGGCTATTACACGCTGGAGAAAGCCACGTGGAGGCCAGCTGACGATGTGGGGATGAGGCATGAAGAAATGCACAGAGGGATTAGGTAGAGTAGGTGCTTCTCGTCTTCCGGGTTGGGGTCCAAAAGACTCCGAAGGTTATGCAGGTTATGGCTGCAAACCGACAGCAATGGCGATCATGTTGTCACTTCTTATCAAACCAGAATGCACAGTTGGACTGTGTACTCTGTGTTGACCATAGAGGTTCGCTTTCTTTTCCCGTCCCTAAAAATATGCCCAATCCCTGTCCCTCTTACACCTTCTCACTTATCTTGTATGTATTATGAGTTTGGCAGCGATCAGTGAAGTTAACTTCACTGTATTACGCTGTACAATTATGATGATGAAGAGCATAGTCAAGAGGATCTTCTGTTCAGTGGTGGAAATCGGCAATCTAAGCCCCGGGACTTGGATTGGCGAACCACATAAGGCCCCGATAGGTTAGGCGTGGTATTGAACCGGACGACAGCCAAACTGTCTACCACCAAAGTCGGATGACGGTGGCAAGGCTCGAACCTCGGACCTAATCTGGAGGCCTTCAACGTGAGGACTCTGATGCAGGTGGGTCAATAAGCGGATCTGGCGCGTACAATGGACTCGTGGAATGATATCTGTTGCGCATCAGAAACACGAGTCCAGATACTAGTACTAAAAGTCACTTGAGCGCACCGGATTTGTCCTCAAGGAACTTTCTCCGCAGGTCAGGTGACGACGAAGCCCGTTCTGTGAGTCAGCGTGGAGTAGGCATTGAACTCACTAGTAGAGCCGAAGCTGTACTCTGCGATTACATCCCCGTCAACAGTTCCTTTATGCGCGATGCCGCTCCAGGGGTCTGTCAGCGTCCGGAAGGGAAGGAACACGAAAATGTGTTTGTTCATTTCAATATATGCACTTACTAACTGTAGTCCTGACGCACAAAAAGACGAGTTTTATGATAAACTCACCGAACCCATTCGGTTGAGCCGAAGCTTCGCCCTGCCAGCGAGCTGATAACGGCGAGCGACTTCTTTAGTTCTGCGCACACCATCACCCTGTCCCTATCCGGTACGAACTTCCAGCTCTCAACGGACGGCAACATGTTGCTCTAGTTCGACGCGTTAATTGACCCAAATTGACCACATAGCAGCAAGCTACCGTTGTCATCGCCCAGCACAAAACCGTAGATCCTATTGAACCACCTGCATTGAATCTGATCACGGATTATTTTTGATGCATTGTACTCCGACGCGCTGATCGCCGACAAAACCGGGAAAAGCGGTTAACTTACCACTGCTTGTCTATCTTGGCGATTCGTTCCCGCTTTGAATTAGAACTAGGGCAAGAGTTGAACGCGCTACTGCGTGGTATTGTAGACGATCAGATTAGATGAGCAAGGGACTCTGCAGCGAGGGATGCTTGTGGATCTTGACCAGTTACCTGTCCGAAGCATAAGATATCTGATGAGTTACTAGCAGTGAAGAATAAAAAACGTCAAATCGCCACTGCCCGCGGTAGGTAGATAGGGGGTAAGTGGCTTC